CTCTGTATATATATATATATATATATATATATATATATATGTATGTATGTGTGTGTGTGTGTGTGTGTATGCGGAAGTCGATGAGGTCGAGGACAGTCGTCGAGCCAGGGCGCTACTGTGCTTTTCATCAGCGGCCATTCCACGCGCGCGCATCCCTTTCCTCTCGTTTGGCGGTGTACGCGATGGAAAAAGCACGGCGGATATTAAAGGCGAAATGCAGACCGCGGCGACAGTCTCGACCGATGACATTGGTCACTGGTTACTGTGCACACCTGGACGACACGAAAAGGTTACGATATAATCGATATGAGCTTCCGGGCTCGCCCACGCACAGCCTGATGAGATTGATCGCGTTTGCTTACGCGTTGGCGTGAGTAAAAAAGAAATAAAAGGAAAATGAGAGGGACAGAAAAGAGGGGGAAAAATAAATATTGTACTTGTCGTACAAACAGTAAATTAAATGTGAAAAATAAATTGAGAAGTGTTTCGGGGGCGTATTTGCCGCGGAAACACGTAGGAACGGAACAGTAGAAGAAGCAGAGCACTGGTCGGACATTTCCCAGGCGAGAGCAAAGTAGCATATTACGATTTCAGACATTACGTCTCGGTAAGATGAAAGTCTGCGCGGAGACTCTAACTCTGAATGACTTTCGGTGTTCTATTGGTTGCATTTTCTGTAGCAAGATTTTATTGTATGTGGCACGTACAGTATTCGGATATAAATAGAGAGATCAATGAGTCGTGTGCACCAAGCGTGAGAGATCCGTAGGGTTTGGTTACATACTACATCACTGAGATATATCGCTCAAACATGTGTGGACAATAGTAAAGGAGGCCAGCACATCGTCTCTCAGAATATGATTGATACAATCATCTTGTATGTATGAGCAAAAAATAACATTGATATTTTGTTATGGCGACCTTATTCAGCCAAGTGATATCCTTAGTGCTTTCTCCGTGTTCTGAAGAGTTTTTGAAGAGGTTCTGAAGAGAACCTCTTGGCAAAGTTGATTTAGTTAAATAGAATCAAACGAAGTCGATATAGGCTTCAGAACATCAAAGTAGGCACTCAATGGAATATTGAGGTCGACGGTAGGATCAAAATTTCGACTCGGAAAATTTCACGGTCTTCGGCTCTCGGACGATGGCTCTTGAACATCGATGTAACGGTATTTCATAGCCACTCCGCGCCTTGTACTCCACCGCCACGAGCGAACGCAATTAATAGTCTGCCGCTTACGTACGGCTTTAATACACTTTACTTCGCTAAAAGCTGCGCGGGCGCAATTTATATTCTTTTTCTCTTGCTTTCCTTTTGCGTTTTCACTTGCGTTTCATCGACCCGCGGCTGTCCAGTCTTGCGTGTCCAGATGAACTTTTCCCGTCACTAGCACAAAGATACACAGAGTTGAAAGAATGGCATCGCGGAGAGTGCGAGGGAGCCTACCGAAATACGCCGGCGATGCATCAATCACCGTTGTTGCGACGAAGAAGATGCTCACTCGAGGAGCACACCCGAGAATACGTCAATCACGATAGTGATCGAACGGTCCCTTGATCGAGAGTTAGTCTGTCGAAAACTAATTCGCGCGTCGCTCACGCGACCCATAAAACTTTGCAGGTTCGTGCGCCTAACGATTTCCCGGATTACTAGTCTTTCAGAGGGAAATAAAGAGTCTTGGCTACATAATCTGCTGGAAGCGCAGCTTGTGCACGGCTCGTTGTTGCTTGAAGAATAAGGAAATGACGCTCGACAAGGGAAGAAGTTCTTTAATCGAGAAAAAAAGAGAGAAAGAGAAAGACAGAGAGGAGGAAAGAAAGAGAAACAAGTGTGTCGTGAGCAGTGTAGGCTAGAAAAGCACGAAGGGAAAAGAGATCCCGCAGCGACATCGAAAGCTTATTCTACTTCGATCCAGGAGAAAGCACGTTAACGAAGGAGTGGGAAACGCGAGGGCGCGGTAAAAATACGCGAAGCGAAGCGAGACGGGATTTAAATTGCGATAGATTCGTTGGGACGCGAAGAAAGTTCCCCCTTGTGCCTCTTCTGCCGCCGTATCCGGTACGCGCCGGCTTATCCTTTTCTCATTTCTGCGCGAATCGTGCCGCGAATTTTGTTCCTTCTCACCTTTTCATTTCGCATTCGCGGTTCGCGCTCTATTTAACGATGTCGTACGATGACACATCGTGAACTTTTCCGCCCTCTTGAACGCGAGACACCCCGCGACGCTGAGGACTGAGGAAACAATCGTCGACCTTTTACTTCCCGAGATACTGCGATGAGAGTCTCCTTTGCGGGCAAACTGTCTCGCATTATCGGCAAAACACATCAGGCCGTGAGCTGTATTTAGTCGGCGGAACGTTACTCCATATCCCCCCGACGGGAGTATCCACCCCGTCGTGGGAACCCGCGAAATAAACCGCGATTCTCCCAAAGCATACGCCAATTGCGGACGAAGAAACGCGCCGAGTCCCTCGACAGAGACTGACAGGGATCCGCAGAAATCGATCTCCCATTTTCTCGAGGCTAACACGCGCGTTGTGTTCGCGCGATTGTTAGGTAATGACGCTTAAACCCTCACAGTCACAATCACAAACGACTAGACCCAAAGAGAAGCGAGTTACTACCGTTCCACACCGGCGAAATGGGCAGTTCTAATTAATCCAGCTCGACCCCCTGGTGGTTCCACCTTGCTTTTGGTCGCCGTACGATTTGACTCTACCTCATCCGCTGACAGAACTTTTTTACAGGTTGGAGAAAGAAAGAGAGAGGGGAAGAGCGAGGGAGGAGGAGAGAGAGAGAGAATTTCCCGGGAATTTCACCCATAACCTTTTGTTACACCCACAATTTAGAACTTATCCGATCTAGCCTTGAAGGGTAGAGACGGATACTCGGCGAAACTCCCGGCGAAGAGCGCCAGTTAACTCTGTGGCCTTGTTTCTTAATCAGGTTTAATCGTGTCGTAATATAGACGGCTAATCATCTACCTTTGTTCACCTGCAGCAGCGAGCCATCAGTCGTGATTATGACAACTGACGTATCGTATACGTCTTGAACATTCTGTATACAGGATTTTGCAATCGGCTTTGTATCGAATCACCGCCAAGCTAGAGTGAGAGACGAAGGGACGAAATTAAATTCCAGACCGAATTTTTATAATAGCGATATACGAACGGAGGGTAATCA